GAGAAAAAGAACAACCAGGACAAGGTGAATAGCCTCTTTATTGATGGGTAAACTGTTGGAAGTCTTAAAGAACCAGTTTGGGAACATATACCTTCCGTATCATATATTTTCTAAAAACCCTAAATGGCCTAGATAAAATGAAAAGTTTCAAGTCTCCTCTTACTGTAATAAGGAGAGGGTTTCCTTAATTCCTATTGCAATTTTTTCCACAATGAAGTCCTGTCCTTGAATAAATGTGTGGAGTGGCTTTTGAAAGGTATTGGGATAAAGCCCACCAGTTGATACGAATATATCATATTCTGGCTGAATCACCACACATTTTGTAATAATGATATACATGTAGAATCTGTTCACATATGACATTGTGTCAGATTGCTAAAAAGAGAGGGCTTTCTTACCTGCAGTTAATTTTGCAGCTTCTTTCATGGTCCCTTCTTTTGATGTAATCAAGGTTCCTGGAGAACGGAAACAACATCACAGTGGACTAAAACTTTATTCCTTTATAAATAGATTTTGACTATGGTCAGAATGTTCAACTGGTCCCAGTGATGTGGGTTGAACCTACTTCTTGTCACTTGGAGTTATACCATCTCCTTTCAATATGTGAACTATATGTGTTCTCCCATTCTCAGCTCCTATCATTTCCATAGCATTACCTGCAGGGCCATTTGAAGGAGTGCAATAACTTCCTATGATGTTAGGTATCCCGTTGACTGAAAGATTCATTTCCAAAATGGATTTCTATAAAATAAAGTTCAACAGAAAATTGATGTCAGTGCAAAAATAGATCCTTGGAAACAACTGGCAGCTTCCTACCCAATCCTATATTGTTTTTGCTTTTTTTTTTACTCTTGTTTGGCACTCTAATGTTCCTGCATGAAAGCAGCAAGAAAGATGAAGTATCATGAGGTGCATTTATAAAATACGTAACAAAGTGGAGATATTCCACCATCATTCTTCAGGGTAGCCCATGTGAATGTCCTACCAGTGAATCCAAATTTCTCAACCTGAAAAATGTTATTTCCTTTTTCCATTCACTTGACTTCTTTAAACTGAAGATCTCAGGGTGTTTGGTTCTCTGACAGCCCCAAACATTCTGTGACTTCCTCAATAGACACAATTGCTATACTTTTCACATTGACTCCTCCAAATAAATTGCTCAGTAACACTCAGAACTGTGATAACTCAGAAAGCAAGCTGAAAATATGTCTTTTAAGTACTGTCTTATTCTTAGCTTCAAGAAAATTCCATTTACAGCACCTTGATAATTAAATGTGAAATCTTATGAAGATTTGATGAGACAGTCACTCTTTTTGTGAATAACTGTCTAGTCCAGAATAAGAAGTGGAGAAAAGCAAGTCTGGAAAGTAGCACTTCAGCTGCTCCCAAACACAGTTATATATCCAGGCTTTTATGTTGTTCCTGGAGGTAAAGAATGGTGCCTATGGAGGGGGAGGTGATGTGATGGACAAAAGTAAAGCAGCAGTTTCCCAGGAAGGAGGAAGCACATTCTAAGAAAAGGGGGGAGACAAGAGGCAACACAACCTACACCTGGCTAGGAGACAGAGGAAGAGAGTTAGGATGGCCACTTCCAGGGTATTTCCTTAGGCCAGTAAGGGTTTAGTCTGGCAGATTCTGTCTGTTGTGTATAGCAAATAAAGAACTGAACTTTGGCTGGATTGTTCTATGTCAGGGGTGTCAAACTCAATTTCATTGAGGGCCACATCAGCATTGTGGCTGCCCTTGGGGGGCCGGGTAGGTGTGGCCTGGATGGGTGTGGCCTAGTGGGTGGGTGTGGATGGGGTGGGCGTGATCTATGGGGTGGGTGTGGCCAGCTTGACATCACTCGCTTCAGGGATGCCTGGGCAGGACTGGGGCAGATCTGAGGGTCTCCGGCGGAGGATGGGACTGGGGTGAGCGCTGGGACATGGTCCCTCCCACCCTCCACCCTCCCTCCCTCCCTTCCTCTGTTCCTTCCTTCCTCCCTCCCACCCTCCATTCCTTCCTCCCCGTTCCTTCCTCCCTCCCTTTTTCCCTCCCTCCCTCCCACTCTCCCTTCCTTCTTCCCTCCCTCCCTCCGTTCCTTCCTTCCTTCTTCTCACCCTCTGTTCCTTTTCCCCTGTTCCTTCCTGTTCCTTCCTTCCTCCCTCCCTTTTCCCCTCCCTCCCTCCTTCCCACCCACCCTCTCTTCCTTTCTCCCTCGTTCCTTCCTTCGTCTTCTCATCTTTTTCGTTCCCCTGTGCTCAGGAAGGGGTGATGGGAGGGGGAGAGATTGCTAGCACTTATATGCTGCTGCCGGCCATTCCTATACCATGTGGGCGGGTGGGGGCGGTCCTGTTGAAAGGGATGCTTCGTGGCTTCGAGGCTGGAGGTGCTGGTGGGGGGGGGTTGGCACTGATCTACAACCTGGTTGCATCCATCAAAGCCAGAACGCGCTCAGCCTAAGATCCACTGGAACCAGCAAGGAGCTGCCTCGCCATCTCTGCCCCGCCCCTGGGTGTGCACACAGGAGATGGCCAGCGCCAGTGTCCTGGGTGAAGTCAGCCTGCGGGACAAGACAGCCAACAGGGACGCCGGACTCTGCTTGCGTGCACACCCAGGGGGCGGGGCTGCCCTATGGATTTAATGCTGAGCGCATTCTGGCTTTGATGGACGCAACCAAGTTGTAGATCAATGCCTGATCAGCCTGGGCCGGGCTGAGGTGCGGCGGGCCGATTCTTCGCTCTTTCCAGAGCAGGCCTCCAGGCCGGATGGAACCACATAGCGGGCCGCATCTGGCCCATGGGCCTTGTGTTTGACATGTCTGTTCTATGTCATTCTTGGGTTGGGCCTGACACTGTCTGATATGAAAAGCGAATTCGGCTAAGAAAGAATTTAATTCTGCTTTTCAAAATAACTAGCAGCTAGGTTTGTAGCTAGGGTAAAATAGGCTGAAAGTGATGCCATCGACAGCTGTACAAAGCAAGTCACAGTTTTAACATGGGTTAAACCAAGCCATCGTGTTAATCCATAATATAGTTTGTTTCAACATAAGATAAATCATAATATGGTATTTTGGGTACATTATGTGAAGGTAGCAACTATGGTATATTAATCAGGTTTAACATTTAAGATTCCTTGTGAATATAATAACTAAAAATGCTTTAGAGGCCAAATAGAAGAGATTGTTAGCTTGTTTTCATCAATTTTAAAATTCCAATGCACTGCCCCACATTCCTTGAATTCTTTGCTAAATCCCCTTCCTCACCCTCCATATAACAGTGCAATGCAGACATTAAAACAGTGTTTTTCAATCTCAGCAACTTTAAGCTGTGAGGAATTCAACACCCAGAATCCCTCATCTAAATCTTTAGGATTTCAGCTCCATTCCTGAAATCTGACAAAGGGATTCCCCTCCCCTTCACAAAGGAAGAGGAAAAACCCTTCATGGAGCTGCAGGAACAGAGCTGAAATCTTCAGGATTCAAGGGTTTCAGCTTTGTTCCCTCAACCCCATGCAGGATTTCAGCTTACGTCCATCTCCTCTCCTTACAACCTTCCCTGCTGCCTTCCCCACTGACCTTCTGGGAAAGCCAGCAGAGAATATTGCAAATGACAATCACATGATCATGACTGTAATAAGTAAGTGAACTGGTTGCCAAGCACCCAAATCATAATCAAGCAGATTGTTATTCTTGGTGCAATGTTTTGTAATGGTTGGAAGTACTTTACAGGCCATAAACCACCCTTTCTGAAGCTATTATTAATTTGCTCATTAAGCAACCAGTCGTTAAGCAAGGAGTATCTATAAACTATTTGCTATTCCAGTTACATAAGCATTTCTTGTCTTTTGGATAACTCTGTACCATTTAGAATGTATGGATAACATTCTGAATCCTAACTGAAGTATTTCAGAAGTATTAATTTTATGATTCTAAAACAACATTGGCCCATTTTATTAAAAGCCTCTTTAAAATAATTGATCTCTGTTTTTCTTTGGTTGCTATTAAGAGGCATGTCAGACTCTGAGATGGAATATGCTGGCTTAACTTCTATCACTAGCATCCTGATTTGAGCTAGAATACAAAAGCAGGTATTTTACACACAATATCTATATATATTATTTGGAGAACTCACCTCATTATTAGCATCTGCATTCTTCATCTTTTTATCATGAGCATTAAAAAACTTTATTGGATTGGATAAAGCCATGGTGAGATCTATTTTTTAAAAAAACAAGAGGGACAATACTATCTCATTATCCCCTATTGATTGATTGCTAGTTCCTTTACTAAGAATATAGTAATATTTGCCTTATATGCTTTTCGTTATTCTGAATCAACTAGTAAAAAAAAAATTCAAAACATACAATTTGAAATAATAGATTATTAACCTTCTGCAAATTGCCTGCAGTGAGATAAAATTTAAGTCCGCCTGTATTCAGTTCAAAGGTATACAATTTATAAGAGCAACAAAATCTCATTTTTCTTGCTTTGCATTGTTGACTATTTTTAGAACAATGCTGAGTGACCTACATCCTCATTTACAGTTTTTCTTAGGAAGAACTTATACACCCTCCTTCAGCTACGATTGGGAAATGTGCTGCAATACAATAATAGCCATCTCTATAGATTGTGACTGTGAGTAGCCATTCAATCATTGTTCAGCCTATTAACTTCTAGGAAAGGAAGTTTTAACCTTCCCAGTCTCTGTCCTATTTGGCTGACTTTGTCTGGGATTAGAAACTTAACAAGAACAGAAGCTGAAAAAATAAAAACATCAAATAAGAACAAGTCTGCTTGGTGTTTGGATAGGAAACCTCTGAAGAACATTAGGTCTGTAAGCTTAATTGGGAAATAACTAATCTTCAGAGTAAGGCAATAGTTAATCACTTCTGCACTTTGGGCAAGAAAGCTGCATGGATGTATCCAGGAGCAAAGATCAATCTGAAGGAGACATTATGTTACTTATCCTTGTCTTGGGACACTGAAAAATAGCTGAAAAGAAGTTAAATGCACCCTGTGGTTGCTACAAATATGGCAATATAGACTTATTGTTCTTATTGACAGTACCTCTATAAGTAGACCAGACTAGGAAATCAATGCCATGTAGGTCTAAAATTATTTTTATTGGAACAAATATAGTAACAGAATATTGCAAGTCTGAGTATGCTCTCCTCCCCCCTCATTTTCTCTTTGCGTGAACGAGAGAGGGGCCTATCTGAGACATTTTCTCAATTTAGTTTCTTTGACCAGATTTAAATTGTGTTTGTCTGATTATTGCCTTTATAGCAGCCTTTTCTCCTGTTCTTCAAGGCCATTCCTTCATCTTCTACACTTATTCACTTTTGGTAACAGTTATTATAAGATTGTCATCTTTACTGAAGGCTGCCTAAGACACTCATATCTACCTAAAAACACCTCATCCAATGCCTCACTCAAGTTATTTCACAATTTTACTAAGAGAATCTTTTCAACATCCTTCATACAGATGGTGTAGTAAATAATTTTAATTGGCCAATATACACACACCAGGCCTCTGCTTAAAAATAGCATCTAGAAGCAAACCAAGACTAATGGCAATACAAATTGAAAGCCACCTTTTATTCTTTTTTAAAATCCTGCAACTAAAGTATAGGTGTCCTGCTCTTTCATCTTCAGAATACTGTACCTGCCCATGAATCAGGAACATAATCTTTCATTTCCACATAGACAAATAGAGAGGGCATTGTAAGAGGCCGGTTGCTCTCATTACGAAGGCAAACATGATGATAACCTAAAAAAGAAAGTGCATGAATCCAGTAGGAAAATATATAGTGGTGGCAATTTGGGTGCCAGAGTAAGAAATGCAATGAGCCTCCCCAGAAAAACAGCATCTTTGTAGGTTCTTCGATATTTCTGCTTTTGTAAACTGTGTACCAGTTTCATACCAAAGAAGTCACAAATGTCACTCATGATGAAATACTTAAACTTCGGTGAACTGATAACAAGAGAATGAAAGGAGTCCTTCAGCATTTCTTCATATATATATATATATATATATATATATATATGTAGGTCTTTAGTTATTCGGGTTTTCTCCCGCGTAGAATTAAAAGTACCTTGGCGACGTTTCGACGAAGTCACATTCGTCATCTTCAGGCTGGTGTCTTCAGCTTCGTGCTTCTAAGAGTGGTGTGTGATCGCAGCTGTTTCTTCCTTTTAACTGCCAGTGGGGTTG